CAAGGCTTTCTACATTGTCTTTGCTCTTGTTGTCGTTTAAAGCTATTACGTAGTATATTGAACACTCCGCTAGGATCGTTGAACACAGAGAACGAATATTTCGAAACCGACTTTCCCTGAACCTCGGTATCACTAATCAATATGTATTCTTTCTTTGATGAGCTTACACGAGGTTGATAATGATGTTTATTTTCGGCTAACGTTTCGACGTCTTCGTCTTCCTCAGAGCCGATGATCCGAGTCGATGGTCCTCGCTTGTTATTCGCCTCGACATGGCAGCTTCGCCTTCGTGTCGGGTTAGGTCTTCTTCAGTGATCCATCTCCTCGAATGAGGCATCCTTACTCAGTGATGCCTTTTTATACACGATGCTGATGGTCGATATAATGATAATGTCCGGTGATAACAACTTGTTTTTCTTCCGGAATATTTTTCGAAATATTACTACGCTTTGTGCTAGCTGATAAAAACACCGACTTCTGCACGATGTGCGCAATGATGTATGTCCGGAATACAATAGATGAATACATGTTGATTAGTAATATTGAGGTTAAAGGAAAGTTCATATCACATTATAGCAGAGATAAGATAAAGATACATTGGAAAAATGTATTAAGTAAAGTCTATTCACTGCGCTGCACAGACCCCTAGTATGCATATTTTCTTGGATTACAAAGCTAACACGAGATCGGTAAAGAATTTTTTATTCCCTTTATAAAAAATCTTTAGTAATTGCGTATTAGCTCTGTAATGGGAGAAATTACTCATCATTTATGCCGAGGTTAGACGAAAGTTGGCTTTTAGAAATATTACTACATATTCAAATTATAAAATATTGAAACAGCTAGTGTGAGTCATATACGGTTCATTTCTTTGTCGGTTTGCTAAAGAATATCCCTGGAACTTTTCAATGCATATGGAGAAAAATTCAGGATTCATTCTTGTTCCAGAAACTATGTGGAGAGGGCACGTGCGCAGAACATGTATAGCAACTACATCACTGATGTCTGGGTGAAACCAAAAGCATTGGCACGCTCGGCAAGCTTCACTAATCTCACCTACGTTAAGGTAACTTAAGCGGTGTATATGACAGAGTTGCTGAGATAATTGCAAAACAATGTGCTAATTTTGTACTTATACTTATATACTTCAATGACTCTGCTTCATGAAGCTCATTTTCTATTTAACTGGGAATTGTTGTTACGGTTTGACAATATTTTTCCCTGACATCTCTAGACGCGATGTTATGCGGTGCGATCGTAGGTCTGTTTATGTCTTTTCCAGTACGGTAAATTTCACTGGCATAAGTTCGCTCTTCGTTTAACTTCTTGACGGAAACCTCGCTGACTTAGTACTTTAGAAAAAATAGAAAAAATCTACTTTCTTTCTCACACGTTTCTCCTTGACATACTGGCCTTTGATATAGTTGAAATTAAAATCTTCGCAACTGTAACGCTTTTACTCTTATTTGTCATCGATTCTCATTAATACTGTGGGGCTTGATAAGCTGCGAAAAGACGGGGATTGTAGGAACAGCATGAGTTATTCGGTTATCAAATTTATCCTTCTGCTCGACTACCTGTCATATTATTTTCGGTCCGCGGAAAAGTTTTCAATGGCATTTCTCAACAATGGAAACAAAGCGCCGCGTTTTATGTGGACGTTTCGACGAGTACTGCAATGTGTATTCTTTCCTTGATGAGCTTACACAAGGTTGATAAATAGTTTTATTCGGCTAATGTTTCGACGTCTTCGTCTTCCTCAGAGTCGACGATCCGAGCCGATAGTCCACTTTCGTCTTGATGTGGCGTCTTCGCCTTCGTATCGAGTTGTGTCTTCCTCAGCGGACTACCTCTCGAATGAGGCATACTCACTCGGTGATGCCCTTTAATGCAGGATGCTGGTGATAGATAGTTGTGATTGTCTGGTAATAATAACCTGTTTTCCTCAGGCAATGGAACGAGAAGAACGGTGGATTATCGGTTCGGATCGTTGGTCCTGATGAAGACGAAGACGTCGAAACGTTAGCCGAATAAAACTGTTTATCAACCACCTCGTGTAAGCTCATAAAAGAAAGAATACATGCTGATTAGTAATACCGAGGTTAAAGCAAAGTTGGTTTTGAAATATTAAGTACTGCAATGTTCTGTAATTGGTAAACCTGTAATATTTCCAGGAGGCTGTACACGACTATCCAATTCGTCGCTCAGATTCTGTATCGTCTCTCGCACCGTCACTAGCTCTTCCACAGTACTGCAGGCAAGCCCACTTACTTGAAAGAATGACGACGTTTACGATATGTTCATGAATTATGCGCATGTTAACACAATCTCCACCTATTAATGAGTAACGACTGATTGAGTGAGATTTTATTCTGATGGAATGGCATTCCCTATAGAGTAAATATTAGAATTTTACAGAGAAGCTCAACGTATTGTGCACACCGTTCCCGTTTACAAACCTCACGTTCATAATTGGTATAATAGCAGCTATTCACCAGCGCGATTTAAGGTCAATTAGTTTATTCTCTGGTTTCTTTTTCAACACTTTTTTATCTTCTGTTGATATTCTATATAGATTGTTCATTCTTAAAGTTCTATTGTATGACATGAGAAAATCAATCATTTGAGAATCAGTTCGATTTGGGTAACACAGCAAATGGTTTGGGTCAGAGTGATTCTGCTATAACGTAATGTCACAGGACACCCACGACATTGTGAATCGTCCGTATCGTCCTGCGATACCTTACGTGAATCCGATATCGTCCCATGTTCCATACTACACATTTCAAACACGTCGAATCTTTTTCGACGAGGTTGTTTTTGAAGACGGTCATAACTTTGGAGTAACGTTAGAAAATATGATTAACATGAATCGTTACAGAGATTGAGAAATAGTCAACCGTATTTGCAAGAATCACAACGATATCTGGATCGTTACGTTGGAGCACGACTTAAGGTGCCAAGAGCCAAAATTTTTGTCGCTAATTATTCATTGCTTAATAATTGCGGCTAGACTGTGATTAGGATTTTACAAAAAAAGAACCGGTAGTTTAATATCGTCACTTGGAAACCAAAATGAGCAGCTTTCCACGTATCCGTGAAGGACCGGTAAGACGGTTGGACGTGTGGGCGCGTGTAGCGCAGTGGTTAGAGGCACCCTGGTATACACATGTCTTCGATCATGCGCCCCAGGTTCACCAATCTTTCCATCCCTCCTGGGTCGGCAAATCGGTACCAGACATGCTTAGGAGGAAAGCGGAACTGACTCGATACATCGGTAGCCCATCACGAGTCTCTGCGCATAGGCCAGAGGTACGTTCAATCACCTTTAACGATGCTTAGTGAAGTCGAATCCATGACGCATCACTCAAAGACTGGTGGACGCGGCAGTTTTTTACACCTTTACGAATTAACACTCGCTCGTAGGAAGTGTTCCGAAAAATTAGGTATTAAATAGGTGCGGCAACCACACGGCTTTACTCATCAATCTTTATGTTTTAAACTAGCGCTTCGATGTAACAGAGCATATCGATAGCACAGTAGATGACAAGTGCTCATTGGAATGGAATGCTACTATCTCGGTAATGCTTCAATACTGTTCTTATTACTATCATCACATTCAAAACCTGTAATTGATGTGGTCATTAGCTTTGTAATATTTCTGTGTTTTAAAATTGATTGCTTCTTATTAATAGATGATACATGAGTACAGCCACGCCACCAATGGCTAGGCATGGTGAGTAATACTTAGAGTACCTAGAGACATTGATTCACTAAAAGCGGAGGGCTACCTGTAAAGGATATGGAAAGTATTCTTGTCTCTAATGTCCATGCACATGTGCTGGCACACCGGCTTTTCTGCTGCATTACGGTAGTGACGAAGGACCTTCATACAAGTGCTTTGATGTTCCTAGTAGATATCCTTTACATAATTCGAATACAATGCTATAAATAACAATGACTTCGGTAAAGGATAAAAGGATAAAGCTCTCGGCGTTGGTCAGTCCCTGAGGGTTGCGCCATGTATTCCACTTCGCTAAGCATTGTTGAAGGTAACTGAAGGTATATCTGGCCTTTACAATGATTCGCTGTGGCCTACCGATGTATTTAGCCAGTTTTGCTATCCTTCCAGACAAGTCTGGTGCCAATTTGCCGACCCCGAAGGGTTGGAAGGTTTGGTGGGCCATAGGCGCAAGGATCGATTTCTCGTGTGTGTTACATGGAGCCTCCGACCACTGCGCCACACACGTCTCTGAGAGCAAAGTAAATTGTGAAAAATATGTCCCGTTGGAAACAAAAAATCAGAAGTCCATCTGAGTAGAATAAAAGAACTTGTATATCGATAGTATAGTTCTTGTTTGAACTAGTAAAGTTCAGTATGTGACTTGATATAGTGGTTAGAATGTGAGCTGGCCGTTCTATTGGCATCGCATGCATTGAAAGCAATGCGCATGGTTCGTTTGGTGTTAGCAATAGAGGGGCATATAGAATCGTTTACCTTACAAGATTTACATTTGTCCTGATAATCTTATCAAGATCGGTCAAAATTTCATTTTCGACTATGTGAAGCCTTAGTAATTGAAATCTGAAAATTTTACTGTTATGTTTAATAACTGTTAAAACAAATCGGTACGCTGTGTTCTTCAGGCAGATGACTTTGCGAATCGTTTCGCTTATTCGGCTTATGAATGGCGTAAGCCGCAAGATCATTCATTCAACAGACACTTCATGTACGATCAAGGAGTGAGTTAGCATGAGAATTGAACATCCATTTTTGTTAAGTTAATGATTTTTCATTTCTTATTGCATGAAATTTTCATTTATTTAAACATTCTGATGAACGCCAGCTATACCACCTATCCTTTCAGAGTTATTCTAAAGTGCAACGTTATTAGTAACTAGTCAGTTTTCATCTGACGAGACGTCAGCATGATTTAAAGACGATTCATCGTAGTTTGGAATACAGTCTGCCGAATAGTTGAAAAGTTTGGCAAAAATCGATAATTATAATTTTCAAGAAAATTCAAACTGCCCAATGTGTGAAGCAGGAGATTCCAGAGAGAGTCATCAAACTCGTGAACGGACTCACGCGTTAAAAACGCGCTTCTAATGAAGAGCTTCTACGAATAGCCACTGCTAGAGAAGTGGGTGACTGGCGAGAAGTCTTTCATCAAAGTGGTCAGCCACTCCGTGCTCTTCATCGACTTGCTATCCGCAAGCACTTTGATTACACTTTGAAAGTCCAGCATATGGGAAATCTTCGCTCCTCGAAAAATTCGAGATTTACATGAATCTGTTAGATAAATGAAAATCTGCTAAATTGCTTCAGCTCCATAGTTGCAATGAACACAGCACCCTATGGTTTGAAAGAAATGGCAACAAAATTTTCATTTCGGTCTGAATTACGACAACTACCAGATTGACCGTAAGGATAATGAATATAATGGCTTATTTTGTAGTTGGAGTGATTAAATTAGAACAACTGCTCTTCACATCGTCAAATATTTTCGTTTACGCACTTTCAATCGAGATTGTTTTGTTTGGATCTCATCAAAACAATGCCAGGAACAATAACAACAAGCGCGAGCTACCATCTGCTTGCTGTTCAAACCGTTTTCGGCTAGGAAAAGATTTTAGAAGCTTCATTACTACAGTAATTCATCATTGCTATGGTTGAAGGATCCATGTTAGATCTAAGCTCTATGTAGATCTCCAACAATGGCGCTAATCACTTCTGTGACCACTTATTCCTTTCCCATCAATGTTTCATATCCTGCAGTTATTCACCGGCGATTTTACTCAGAATTAGATACAGTGCTAAAAAACCGTTTGCTTAAGTGGTGGATCATGAAAGAATGAGAAAAGACGACTTTTATTTAAAAATGCAGAGGTGACTCATGTCAATGCTAGCTTACGAAGAAGGGCACTCTATTTACCCAACCCGTCATCTAAACTCAGTGGTAAAATAATCAAAACTCGTACAAATTGTTGAACTTACACGAGATTGACAAATTAGTTTTATTCCGTTAACTTTTCGAGGCCATCGTCTTCATCAGAGCCAATGATGCAAGTTAACGGTCCACAGTTGTTCGTCTTCTCCATGTGGCGTCTTCGTTTTCGTATCGAGTTGGATCTTCCTCAGTTAAGCATCTCTCGAATTCGTTTCGCATCGCCACACCGAAAAAAGAACAACTGTACACCATCGACTCCGTCTGCTCTGATGAAGACCAAGACGTCGAAACGTTAGCCAAATAAACAACTCTATTAACCTTGTGTAAGCTCAAGAATATAAACACATGTTGAATAATTCTTTCTACTTCAGTTCAGCAAACAAGAGGTGCTATTTTATTTTTTTATTTACGTACAAGCTGACGTTTCGGCGGATTTCCCCTTCCTCAGAGCCTAGAAAGGTCAAGTTGACAGCAATCTATTCGGCCAAACACCTCTATAACCAAACAGGGACAACGCTAAACCAAGATTTTAATCACATTTAACATATCTCTGCACACTCATTGCTTTCTATGAGTCTTCCACTGAGTATGTCGTGTGAAAACCGACCACATAGAATTCACATAGAAGCGTAATACAAGCGCACAAAACTCTAGAGACATTCTGGATTAATTCCAAGAATCCGGAAATGAACCGCAGGGAAGAATGCCTCATTATCACGCGTGATATTGGACAGTATATAAACCTGTTATTCTGATGGGAAGGGCACATTACCCCTCCATGTGAATTCTGTGCGGTCTTCACGCGACATACTCAGTGGAAGACTCATAGAAATCGGTGAGTGTGCAGAGCTATGTTAAATGTGACTGAAATCTTGGTTTAGTGTTTTCTCTGTTTGGTTAAGGAGGTGTTCGGCAGAATAGATTGCCGTGAACTTGACCTATCCAGACTCTGAAGAAGGCGAAATCCGCCGAAACGTCAGCTTGTACGTAAATAGAGAAATAAAATAGCACCTCGTGTTTGCTGAACAGAAGTAGAAAGAATTATTCAATCAATACCGAGGTTAATAGAAAGTCGGACTTGGGAGTTACATGTTGAATAATTTAAACACTGTTATTGCATCGGTTTCTTAACGACGAGCTTTTATATTGCTGCCATAATCTTAGTGGAAGGATACCCTGACAAGGCGATATTATGCATCATAAGCTACTTACATCGAAATGCAAAGGCAATTTAAGCGAAAGCATACGAATTAACGGAAAATCGCTATCTGTGAAAACTGCTTTGCTCTTAATATCATAATTATACTAAAGAAGCCAATGAGAGTGCGGTTGGATGTGGGGATGATTTAATTCATGATGAGCTGCCAGTGCAACGGAGGATGAATACAGTTGGCTATTACGCATTCCACCTCTTTATTTGTGTTGAATTTTAACATGATGAACGACTTCAATATGGGGCCTCTCGACGTCGAGAAGAAAGAAAGAAAGAGAAGAAACCATCCTTGATCCTCGAGAAGAACTCATGAACTAAACAGACTGGCAATGTTTTTGTTCTGTCCGCTCTTCTGCTAAACTTGAGCACTTTCAGCATTGTATTATGTAGGCTAATCTAAGTCAAAATCACGTGACAAGAAACAGTCGTTCTCTATAGATGAAGTAACACGGATAGAATTTTAGTTAATACTAGCAGCGCATCTCCACAATACGTTATAAACACAGTTAAAATTCTCATTGTTTTTATTTCTCAGTAAATCGTTTTAGGTCACTTCCTTCACTCCCACTTCAAATCCAGTTTCGTTTTACGATAAGCAAGCATTGCGACGACTCTACAAACTCACCGGAAGATTCTATTTCTAGCTTTCTAATGTTGTGCATGTTCTGTCTCCACAACGTTTCCCTTTTTTTTTAGCTCGGTTAAGATATATTAGGGCAAGAATCCAATAAGATGCCAATTTCCTTTCAAAGAAACACTCTTCATACTTTCGCGTTTAGTGGGAAACTCTTACGTTACATAAACTTTCTGAGAAATAACAACTTGGTCTAGAAACTTTCATTGACATCGAAGTTCTATCCGATCGATCGATTGTTTCCCAAGTGTCTGAGGAAAACAATTCGAACATTCTGTGTCTGGAGTCGTTGAGATTGTCTTTGTATATGATCTCCATGCACGTATGTTTCTGATAAAGATTCCGATGACGTTTAAACATTATCAAGTTGTATTTTCTCTAAGCAGCTGTTCTCCCTCAGTGGAAAGCACCTAAAAAACGGTGGGTCTTTTGGGAAACTGTTAGTCATGTGATTATCACTTAGATTTTCTTTATTCTGTTTGTGTTATTGAAGCGTTTGGCATAATAAATTGCGTATCATATACCCTTGCGGGCTCTGAAAAAGGCGGTGCTACCGAAATGTCAGCTTTAACAAAGTAAAGAATAAAGGAACACCTCGTGTTTGCTCAACAAGAATATCGAGAATTATTTGATCAATGCAAAGGTTAATAGAAAGTTGGTCGTGGAAAAATTGCTATTGTTCATTATTGAACGTTTCACGTTTTACTTTGTATTGGCTTGGCTGGTACTTCTTTTTTTCCGATGTAATGGATTAACATGTTAGTAGGGCATTCTCATGCCTTTTTCACAGGATACCGGCAACCTTTGCATGTCCCAACACTATTGTAAACATGGGTAGTCGAACTTTGAGGCCTTTGTAAATCAACCTCGTAACTTTATTACGCTACTGGTTTTGAGACTACTTGATGAAGTCAGGGTTTTGCCGCTCAGTTAGGATTATCCAAGCTGGAAGAGTCCAATGTTTCCGCTCAGAATTCTAACCACAGAAATGTATTTGCATTGATCACACACAAAGTTTATGTGCAGTATCTATAACATGTCTACCAATGTTCTGGCGATTTTCGAAGTTTTCATTATCTGAAAAGTCACTGTTGCGCCATTGCACTATCAAAAGTTGTCTTTGTTCCACAATAGACTTCTAAACATAAGTTGCAATAAGAGCTTCTTGTAAGCCAAATCGTTGGCTTAATGATTTTCTGCCGTCCAAGGTGATGCCTTATCGCCAGGCCGCAAGTTTCGAAAGGATAACAGTGAACCCTCGCTAAAATTGTCAACCATCGCAATATATTAAAATATCAATTTGATCAATTAGAGCGTAAAGACAGCTGGAAAATTCTTTCAAACTATCATGTTGCTCATAAAATTGTTGTTCTTTTGTAGAGTTGTAGCTAATTTTGCAAAATGCCTTAAACAGCTCTCATATGAGGGAGATCCGTGGGAAACAGCCTTAGTAAATGACAATAAAAGATAGAAGCTCAATAAAAACAAGAAAATCGAATGTGGTCATGCGATGAAGAACGAATAGAATTGGAAACAGCTACTGAAATTAAATAGATAACGACTTGGAAAAGAAGTTAACCAAAACACGACAAGCAACAAGAACCGCATTCGATAATGTCTTACGAGGAATCGACGGTACATGAACCAACCAAAAGAACAGTCAATTGAACCATGAGAGCACCAAGCGAGTTTAAGGGCACGACAGGGTTATGTTAAGAATTACAGTTGACAAGAATTCTTCATAAACTAGAAAACTTCCAGTTGTCCTCATGAATTAGGAAGGACCAGCTCCATGATGACGACGAATCGATAAGAAGGAAAAAATCACATGTAACTTCATGGTTTGTGAAGAGCGACTGTTTAGATATTAACGAATACTACTCAGATAACTCCCACGTCCGACTTTCTACTAACCTCCGCATTGACTGAACAATTCTTTCTACTTCTGTTCAGCAAACACGAGGTGCTATTTTATTTCTTTATTCACGTACAAGCTGACGTTTCGGCGGATTTCGCCTTCCTCAGAGCCTGGAAAGATCAAATTGACAGCAATATTTTCGGCTAAACACCTCCATAACCAAACAGAGGAAATGCTGAAGCAAAATTTCAATCACATTAAACACAGTCTTTGCACACTCACCGCTTTCTATAAGCCTAAATATGTTACATGGAGACCAACCACATAGAGTTCACATGGAATCGTAATGTGTCCATCTTATCAGAGTAACAGGTTTATATACTGCAC